CACACACACACACACACACACACACACACACACACACACACACACACACACACACACACACACACACACACACACACACACACACACACACACACACTCTGACAGCTCTGTCTCCTGCCTGCAGGCTAACAGTCCTTCTTTTTATGTCCACTCATAGACACTCAGCCTGTTTCCTTCTGCATTCTTTGAATACCACAGAAAAAGAAGGTCAAGCCATGCCAGAGTCTCAATGTGGACTGTACCCCCAGGTCATCCAGACACACAGCAGACCACAGTCTCAGAGTCCAGAAGGAACCAGAACACTGTGGGCACCTCGCCAAAAAGCAGAGAAATTCAATTCTCTTTATTATCAGACTTTTATTTTGTCAAACAGTCGCAGTTTGTCTTCCTCTTTAAGTGAAGGACACTCAGCCTGTGTGTGTGTCAGTGCGTGTGTGCGCGTGCGTTAGTGTGTGTGTTCAGACTTAGAGTCAGGTGGAATGGAGGGGTAATAGCTGAGATGAAAAATGAGAGTCCTTGACCCTTTGTTACCTCCAGGGAGGGCTGATAGCATGAACAGCCCCCAATACACACACACACACACACACAGACACACACACACACACACACACACACACACACACACCCCGTGCCACTCCCTTACCCATAAAGATCTTTAACTACAGGGAGGGAGACAGGAGGGAGGGAGGTGAGACGAACGGTCGAGCTCAGGGGGGAGGCACTCGGCTGCTGTGGGGAGTGGTGGTCTTTAATCGTGTGTGCATGTGTGTGTGTGAGGGTCTCAGCTGTCTCAGCCTCCATTAGTCTTTAATAAAGTGTCACTCAGAGCTTTTAGTGAAGCAGAGACCAACAAAGCTGCTGCTTGTGTGTGTGTGTTTGTGTGTGTGTTTGTGTGTGTACACCCACTTCAGTTTGTTTTCTAATCACTGCTTACATGAGGGATGAACCTGCTTCTGAATATGAATTTAAAATGGGATCCATGATGAGATAGAAATACATTTGTATTATGATATAATTAAATATTCTTATTATTGTTTTTGCAGCTTGCACCACCTCTGCAGCTCCATCATCTTCCTTCATTTGTAGTTTGGTGTGCTTCAAACATTATTTACAAAGTGACTGTAGGAAAGAGCCTGAGTAGAAACAGATTTAACAGCCGATTTAGGTCTTGTAAAACTCTATACAAAGTAAACTGCAGACTATTGCTTAATAAGAGTTCTAAAAGATTATTCAGCTTTTGGTTAAAGTTTTTTAAAAACTGTAGTCAGTTTGTACAAAGTCAGTCAAATGGATAATCAGAAATAAAAATGTAGATTGGGATATGTATAAGCGTCTAAACTGATCGATCACATACTGTATTTCCAGTCTGGGGTGCAAAAGGTCTCTAGTGACTCCCATTACAGCAACACACATGTGCATTCCTTCCTTCACAAAATGAAGGAAAAAAAAATCAATGAAATCATTTTTGTTTCAGAAGTTTTAAATGACCTGCTGATTCCTACTTTCAGTAAAATAGTCGACATATGCCAGGTTAAACTGAAAAGCAGTAGAGTTCATTTTACTGTGGTCTACACTCAGTGGACTGAGTAGCTTCTGCAAAATATGTTAAAGGAAAAAGTTCATCACATACTTTGGATCCATTCCCAAACCAGATCAGAACAGCGGAGCAGAGATTACCGGGAACCACCGGTGTTAGCTCATTCATAGGCATGGTGGGGGCTCTTGCTGCATTCCAGTTACCGCGGAAGTTGGGTGTCGGAGCTGGGAATGACGTTGACGGTGTTCCAGTAAACAAGTCGGAAAACCAAGATGGACGCCTACTGTCAGCCGTTGTTAGCTGTCATAAGCCGTTGTCAGTGGTTGTCAGCTGTTGTTAGCTATACAAGTTGTAAACAACATATAGCACAGTATTTTACTCTTATAAACACCATAACACCGTGTTCACGGTTAGACGTTGAGCAGTACAACATATACCACTTATTTAATTTCACAAAAACAAAACAGGAGTGCTAATAAATAATACATTAGGAGAGCTTATACTGTTACTCTTTACTGTTGATTCACTGTGCTGCCATCTTGGATTATGACATTGTCGTCAAGTCGGGGTTGGTGAGGACCGTCTGATTTTCCGAGTTGAAAATCCAATTTCAGTGGGGCATTCCAGATGAACTTCTGAGTTGGAGCTCGAAAGTCCCAACTTCTGAGTACAACTAGAATGCAGCATCTGTCTCTGTCAGGCTGAAGTTCAGGACTCTGCTCTGGAAGATGGAGAGATGTTTATCTAAGCAGCCTGCTGACAGGTTAGACATTGAAACAGGTGGATGACTGGAATGAACTTAATATTTGGTTAGACACCAGGAATCAAAAGTTTGGGAGGTTAATTTGTTGAAAAGCAAAGAGCTTGCAAGTCTGGAGAACCAGGACCAAAGTAGACCTCATTGAGGAATGGATTAACGGAGACGTTTCTTGTCCTGATGCATAGGGCTCATAGAAAAAGATCTAGAAACAAGAGGAAGAAGATTTCACCACAGAGAAATAAAGGTTAAAAACTATTCATAAAGTCAAATAAAGTTCATATTTAGTGACAGTAAATCCTACAGAGGTGTTTTTAGATCATCAAGCTGCCATGGCCTACAGATGCTCTGCCCTATAAGCTGCAAAAATCTGAATGATGGTTTATGTCTGACTGGGTTTTCTCTGTTTATGCAGCTGCTTAAAACAACACAGTCAGAACACTCCATGCTTTTTGTAGTCTCTCTGAGTTTGTAGTTTTTACACAGCAGATTCACATCACATCAGGAACATCTACTGAGTGACTGAGAGAGCAGTTGGATCCCCTGAACGCTGCAGTTGTCCTTTTACAACTCTATACACACCTATCCTTAAAACCATCATGTTCTCTTACAAGGTTAGGGAAAAGTGGACCGTAAGGACTTAGGGAGGTTTTTGACTTCTTGAATGCACTTCTGATCTGATGTTGAGTTACATCAGGATTTCCACGGCCTTTGTGTGACCTGCTCTGTTAAGTGCGGTGTGGTGACAGGTGTGTCTCATAATTAAAGCTCCAAGTTAATGACAGGGCGGCACACCTGAACCACGGCTGAAAGAAAAGAAAAGAAAAATGAAGAGGAGGCCCCCGGGGACAAAAGCGTGAGGCACGAGGACATTTAGAAGCTGAAAACCCTCAGGTTGACTAATGAGTGATACATTTAGATAGAGATGGGTGGTTCTTCTATTGAAGGAGGCCCATTTAGGCTAAACAGCAAGGCAGCAGAAACACTGACAGCAGTTTATCCTGTAAGATCCACAGCAAAAAAGCTTTATTAGTTTAAATGAGTAAATCACCCATTTACTCTCAGGGGTGGAGAAGTCCTCCAGGTGGTATAAGATGGCGTGATAAAAACATAAAAGTCTGTTGTTAGCATTAAAAAAGATCCAGGCTCATCTGAGTAGAATAGAGTAGAATAGAACAGAGGACTATAGAATACAATAGAATAGAAGAGGATAGAATGTAATAGATATCACTGTGTACAACCAAACTAAATGCAATCCCATCAGGTGCTAACAATAAGTGCAAATGACAATAACTATGTGAATAAATTGATAAATAGTTACAAAACAAACTCTAAAAACTGACGATATGGGAAGGATTTGTGTGCAGAAGTTGCAGTAAACACCTACCACACTGGAGTATGCATGGGGGTTGGTGGTACATATAACTAATGAAACACCTGTGCACGAAGATGTTTTTTAACAGAGCCGTGAGTGTAAATGCAAGAGGAGGGAATTACTCAACAATAAACTGTGCAAACGGCACTAATGTTATATAAGTGTGTGCGATGGCATGCAATGTTAGTCCCATAATAACATGTCATGCTATCGCCCCTGTCATATCTGGGATTCAAGAAACTAAAACGTAGCTGTAGTCATTGTCTTTACCTCTTCTCTTTTTTGTGGGGTGGGGGGTCCTTAATGTCCTTGTATCCAAGAAATGCTCATGTACGGACAGACTGAAACACAGTATGTTTACATGCAAAGCTTAATGGGACTAAGCTCATAATTCGTTTTTCACCATATCAGACTTCTCTCCTTGTCTGCGTATACATGCAGTTGAGAAAATTGATTTATTGATGTGAACGTGTCCTCCTCCCCAAAACAAGGGGGTGATATGGGTCTCTTCAGCGGCACTGTATTCGGTTGACCCTGTACAACTGTCAACAACAACAGCAGGTCCGTGCCAGACGTCAGAAGTGGCTACAACTGTTGCTAGGCATTTTTGAGCAAGAAGATGGAGCATCGTACAGTGTTGTTTTTGTCGTACATGATGTAGGTGCTACTTTTTCTGCAGATGAGGTGCATGCTACTCATTTCTTTACTCACTTACTCCTGTCCATTTCTTTCAGGAGGGAAAGCATAACGGCACTCTCCTCGTCGTACCAAAAGTGGACATTCTTTCATGCTTCAGCCATGTTGCAGTTACCTTCGAGTCCAAAGTTCTGTAAATTATAATGCCACTTCCTCTCTGGTGTTTTTGTTCTGGAGTTACGGTTGTGGCGCACACGCACATGGATTGTCCAATCATATTCCGACTACGCTGGTTACATGGTAGAGAAAATCGAATTCCAATTGCATTATCTGGGTGTGGACTAAGGTGTTTACATGCACTTCAGTTGTCCGGTCTTAATCGGGGTAGGACAATAATTCGGTTTTCTTGAGTTTCATGTAAACATACTGACTCGTGCAGTGCTTTGGTTGGTTTGTGGACTGATTAACAATTATTCAACACAAAACCCGATCTGTCTCTACTTCTTTCTATGATCTGCAGTGAAGTTATTCTACCCAGTGCCCCCTACAGGTCAGAGTGATCGACTATGAGCACTGGATATGCAGAGTTGTTTGACCTTGAATGCTTCATGCATGTGCTGATTCTGTTGATGTGATGTTTTCCTTCCTACGGCCCATTTTCATTATCTTTGTTTCAAATGGATGTTTTATTGGTTCCTCCTATAAAAATCTTTGGGCTGTTGCTGCACATTTTCCCCTGTTGTCCACTGAAGCAGGTGGCAGAGAGGAGGTGCAGCTGTGAGGAGGTGCAGCAAGGAGGAGGTGGTTCAGTTTGTCCTTGTAAAACCTGCAGCCATATGGACGGCAGCTGAGCTGGTTCTGGAGGTGAGTTTTATGGCTTCTTTTACGGCTCTGCAGGCTGGCTCTGCCCAGAGAGAGTCTTCCTGCCAACACTCGACCGTTCAGCTGATGGAGAGAAATAAACATGAATCACAACCTGAACTTTAGTCCACATTTATATGATTAAAAACACAGAGATCCTCCGCCTGCATAGGAAAAACATTGGTGTGACATTGAGCTATGACTGCCTCTTGTCCTTTTTCTTTTCTCTGTCCCCATCTTCCCTCTGTCTCTGCTTGCTGGTTTTTGGTAAAGATCTGACCTTAATCACAGACTTCTACCTGATGGATCACAGATGAAACCTTGACTCTGCAGACCTTAAGATCATCGTCTCAGACTAACCAACACCTGCTCTGTTTAATCTGTTTTAACTCAGAGTGCAAAGGATTTATTTTCATTTAGTGTGCATCCCCTTTTTTTTTTACGCCTGCCTAAAATCTCTGAGTGAACACACACACGCACGCACGCACGCACGCACGCACGCACGCACGCACGCACGCACATTATATCTGCAGCTCATACTTTAAATCTTTTCCCACAGAGTTCTCGAACCTCTGCTGTCTGAGCTGCCAAGTTTCTCCGCAGAACTTTTCTCAACGTTTGAAGTGAAATATGAAACAGATCATGTTTCTACTGATTGTGTGTGTGTTAAGTGTATGTCCATATGTGGTTAGACAGATGCTTCACACACACAAAATGTAGACATGGCAATTCATTTCACAGTCGTCAAAGCAATGGGAAAACTAAAGTTATAAATTAGGACATGATAAATGTCGAGGAGGGTTTAAAGAATATGAAATTTAAAACAATTGTCACATGAGTGCAATTTATTTTAGACCTTGGGATCCAATAATACACATAACCCTTGCTGCAGTAACTCACAATTCTGTGTTTGCTAAATACATGGGTACGAAGGGTGTAAGAAACCCAGCCTCACAGAACATGTGCACCATGAAACTTGCATGTGTGATACTTTTTGTTGCCATTTACTCTTTTCAGAATGAGAGCTGCTGCATTTTGAACCATCTTCAGACCACACAGACTCTTCTGAGACAAGACAGGAGGACATTGCTATCATCTTATTTGTATGAAACAAAGGCATGAGTAGGAACCTCAGCATCACCAAACAGCAGGGTTGATCTGATCTTGGCGATACCCCTCAGGTGGAAAAAGGCAACTTTGATCCCCTCTTTTTGCAACCCATCAGCATAGAAGTGGAAATCATTCCCAAATGAATGCAATATCTGACTGAGTGGTGCCAGGTACAATGAAAACAACAGCGGACAAAGGACAGACCCCTGTGGGACTCCATTAACAGCAGAGGGCTCTGGGAAACGTTAATTAAAACCTGCTGAGATCTTTCTGACAGGTAAAATCTCAACCACTGAAGCACCTGACCTGAGATGCCAAATATCTTTTAAGTCTGTCAGTGATCTAGAGGTGTTTTGTCAAAAATGCAGGTTGGATTATAGCCACCTGTTAAGACTTAAACTCTAACAAAGTTGTAGCATTTACAGTCTCATCTCTCACTATATTCTCCACATAAACAAAGGAGTGTAGACATACTAGACATACTTGCACTTAATTTGATGTCCAATAAGAAAAATCAGAGATAGACACCATCTTCTGCTGTTTAAATAATGTACCAATATTAATTTACTTCTCACTGATTGAAATGGTCCCTCAATGCTGAAGAGGGTATAGAGACTTTATCTTGGAGTGCAGAATGTCTTCGTCTTCTGTGTACCTTACTGTTCAGCAGTATGTTTGTCATATAGGTAAGCCTTCAGGGTGTTTAAAATCTACTTTCAACTTTGTGAAACCCAGTTTTTTATGTATTTAAAAAAAACCCTTCAGACCACATAACAGGCACTGATTAAAAAACTGCTATACCTTGACAACTCAGGCCTGGAGCAGATAATCCAATGACTGTAGACTTTTAAAAGCACTTTTTCAGAATTGCAAAACCTTTATTTTATCTGTGCAAATGCATTGCTGTCCCAAATCAGCATTGTTCAAAGGTTTAAAAAAAAAGAAAAAACACCTTTTTTATTTTCACAAAAAGTTTCACATATCTGAACTTGTTTTCTCAAAGAGTCTTTAGAAGGACTTCAAACAGGCTCAACAGACCCGTCTTGCTTTCAAACTGTACTCTGAACTGCATCCCTGTGAAGAAGTAAAGATTGTAAGTTTATTTAACTAGATGCTAATCGTGTAGGCTGAGGCATGGGGAGAAAACTAGCAGAGAGAGAGAGGAAAAGGAAGAGGAACCGAAATCTGAGCTCCAGTCTGAGTATCTGCTGCAGCTGTCCTCAAATCTCTCCCTCTGTTTGTCCACATCTGTCCTCTTAGGATGAAGATCTGATCTCCAGAACAGAGACGCTCTCTGAACCCAGGAGAATCAGACCACACACAGACAAGGGGACAGACAGACACACACACACACACACACACACACACACACACACACACATATATATATATATATATATATATATATATATATAATATATATATATATATATATATATATATATATAATGTATTTAATGGATTCACTCTTCAGATTGTCCTTACCCAAAGTTGAAAAGTCTCTGACAGAAGTTTGTTTACAAAGCTTTGCCTCATGATGAGGACAAAAAAACGCTGATGTCTGAAAAAGACTGTCTTATATTTATTGCTAAAATGGGCCAATGTATAGCTTTCTGAAAGACCATCAGACACTTTTGAACTGATGTGCCAAAATTTAATGTGGATTCATATACGATTCATATATTCAGTTGTTTTCATTCAGTTCTATAACTTATTTACCAGAACCAGAATAAACATTGTTTAAAGATAAAAGTATATATTGCAATAAAGCTGTGTATATGAGAGACAGTAAAAATGTCAAAATAAAAACATCACAAACAATCCTCCAAAGATGGCATGTACATGAGTCAGTTGCATTTGTGAGGGATGTTTATGGTGTAACATGTTCCTCCACCCTTGTCCATTTTAATTTGTGATTATTTTTTGTTTCAGTTACCATGACAGCCTTGAAATAGCTTTACACTAAAATCCGTAACTGTATCTGATCTGTTTTTATCATAGCACACTGCAACAGGTTGCAACATGTTAATCTTTATTGTGCTCACAGGTACGTTAGACTTGGACTCAAATGCTGCACAAACTCATCTAAAGACGTGTTATGAAATGCAGAGCTAAAGAGTACCCCATAAAAATTACCAAAAATATAGTACAGGAAACAGACATGGGACATGATTTGCATAACTGATGCAACAATAAAAACTTGAGGTCTGTCAAAGAAGTATGCGAGGTAGGGCTTCAGTCAAGAGGCCCTTCCTCTTTGGAAGCATCTACTTATCAAAGTTCACCCTCTCTACTGCGATACGTTAAGAAAGATATAGGCTCAGGCTGCTAAAGGCTTAACCTGCTATAGGGACTTATACTGTTATAGGTTCAAGCAACTTTAGACTCAAACTGCCTCAAGCTTTGACAGTAATCAACAACACTCAGAGAGTTACTTTTCAGTTTTCTTAGCCAAGTTTTTACAAGTTTTCCCTGTCAGCAACTTTGTCTCTTAATTCTTTCTGCAGCATGTGACTGCAGGGTGATTCATTTCTGAAAGTGTGCGCCCCAAACAAAGAGAGGAGAGAGGGAGGAATAATTCCTGTTGATGCTAGCAGGGTGAAATAGAGGAGAAAGAGAGGCAGACAGAGAGGGGGAGATAAAGAGAGAGAGGGGGAGAAAGCGAGAGAGAGCGAAAGAGAGAGCGAAAGAGAGAGAGAGAGAAGAGGAGGGACATTAGATGGAAAAATGGCTGAGAGCCAGGAGGCATACTGTCTTTACAACTGTCTGCTTGTTTAATACACACTGAACTTGTTCTGCAGGAGTGTGTGTGTGTGCGTGCGTGCATACGTGCGCATGTGTAATAACTCGCTCCTGACCATTAAATGTGAAAGCTTTGTTTCAGTTTGGTGGAGCAGATGGAGGACACACAGACGTGTAATTTAGAGTACAGCTGAACTTCCTGTCAGAGACTCATAAAGACGGATGATAACACACTCATGGAGATGTGCTGTCACACACCACTCTGAGTGTGTATGTGTGTGCTTATCAGTCATACTCCTCTCCTCCCTTTTTGCGTTCAAAGATGTGTATTGTCTGCTGTTATCAGTGTATCTGTGAGGAGGAAGAGAAGGAGGAGCTGCAGGCTTGTAGTTAAAGCTCTCTCTGTGATTTATAAAACCCCCTCAGCTCTGACAGAACACACTAACAAACCTCACTGACTGATGGATGTGGTTTCTGACCTGACTGAACTCTGACAGGTAGGAGCTGCAGACAGGTGAGCAGCTGTAGAGAAGCACTAAAACCACACTGGGGAAAAAAACACTGGTGGATGAAGAACCAGAGAGTCAAAATTTGGAATAAATACAAACAAATCACAGCAGACACTTTGACTTAAGTAGAGGTCAGCGTGTGTTTGTATGTATAGTGTTGGCTAAGTTAGCATCTAAGTGTTTAACCTTAAACTAAAAGCTGCACTGATAAGCAGCTAATATGGTGCATTTCTACAAGCTGGTCATACAGTTGTACCCATGGCCGTCATGTATACGCCAATGCTACATTGACTTGATGGGTCATAGATGTTGCCGCCATATTGCTGAGGGCACTCTGGAAAGACGTCTACTGGCTGTTGTTGAATGACAATATGGGTCTAATTCTGACTCATCTGTGTTTGCAGAGCTTACCACCAATATGCATCAATTAATGAAGTAATTTAAAGAGGAAGCAGAGACCACCTCACCGGTTTAATCAGTCCAAATGTCTCAAACACTTTACCTAATATGGACAAAAACACTGACAGCTAAATTGACTTATAATATATTGCACAGGCATTAATATGAATTTGCACTGCACTACACATCACAAAAACTGGGTATGCAGCTAAGTAAATAAATACAGAGTAGATAGACATACATTATATACAAAAAAGAGGTGTAATCAACTGGCATACAACCCAAAAGAAGAAGAGAAAAAGCACAGGACATAAAGTTTTGTTGGTAGGGACAAGTTAAGTGTAAGTTGTTAAATTGGATGATATACTGTTATGACTAAAATTGTGAGTTTACTTCAGAACAATGTTAAAATTCTGAGGCACAAGATCATAAATTATATATTTGTTGGATATCAAAACAGTTAATGGAAAGCCGTCAAATATAAAATTACATTAGTGCCTTTTATTCTAAAAACCACAGTCTGCACATCTGTTTGTGTTTAGTAACATGGCGGACTTGCCCTTAGCAGTATGGTGGACTTACTGCTGTATCACAGCTGCCGGAGAACACAGCCAATGCAGCATCTAGGTGTATATGTAACAACAAGCATGTTTTGTTGCAGTTTTACAAATCATAAACTCTTTAATGAGTGTAAGGAAGGTCAGGCCTTGAGCTTTTTAGGGGTTACCACACTATGAATACTAGCAACTCACTGCCACTTATAACAGGCTGTGTGATCACTGATTTGAGCTAGATCATCTTCCTTGACTAAAATCAAATCTACTATAGTATGCAGTTATTTTAGCAGTCTTCTGAATCAGAAACAGGATAACATCTGTGCATGAGAAACACTACTGCATGGATGGCATTAATGAAGGCTGCAGTGATTTGAATTTCTCTCTCTCTCTTTCTCTGAGCTGCCAAACTCAGTGTGGTAGTATCAGTTTATAACATCATCAGTGTGTACACAGTGAGTATTGTTCCTGCTGTATTTAGAGCTCCCAGCAGAGCAGTAACACTGCATGCAATAAAACAAAGAGCTCTGTTTAAAAACGCCTCTGTTTGCTGTTAGAGAGCTGGAGCTGCTGCCTGCTGGGTGTGTGTATGTGTGTGTGTGTGCGTGTTTCCTAAAGTGTGTGTGTTTGCTGTGGGCAGTATCAGGTACGTTTTAGTTGCTATTTTGGAAAGTAAAAATATCCCGTCCACCCCCCTGTGTCTGATTGTCAGAGTTGGACGTGAGAAACTCTGGCTGGGTGAGATCCAGCTGGAGCGGTCCGATCTCCTCAGAGAGTCGGGGTTACAAAGAGCGACTGTGCCGAGCTGCAGAGACTCTTAGTCCTCTCCAGCTTTGGAAACACATGAAGAGAGCTGAGACGTTCTGTTCCACCTCCACCTACATCCATCCACCGTCTGTTTCTGCATGAGTCCACACGTCTCTGTCTGTCTGTCTGTGTCTGTCTGTAAAAACATTTTAAAGGTGTCTTTGTGAGAATACCTCGGCTGCCTCTCCCTCTCTGTCTCTCTTCGTCTGATCTGTTTGTCCTTTCCAAAACAGCTCTGCCCTTTAACGCACTGATCCTCTGACAGATCTGTTTCAGAGAGAGGGGTCAATGGGTCCAAATAATTACCTCCAATCTCTCTTCCAAACCTTTTTTCTCTCCACATAAACCATCCTCAGAGTCAGGAACCATAAATCCCAGCTCTAAGTCATCATCAGCTTCTAACTTTAGACTGCACCAACCCGCAGACTGTTCACCTCTATTAACAGATCCTGCATGAAATGACAGAATCTTTTCTGTAGATGTTACGATAAGAAGCATTCCAGTTTTTATCTTTGAAAGCTCTCTATCAAGCAGGTATCAGCAGACCTCGCTTTCTGCTGGAAAAAACAGCCTGAATGGAGAGCAAAAGCAGGAGGCACAAATCCACCAGAATGACACCAGCTGCCATCAGCGGTAATCTGAGGACAATTTCTTTCTCTTGTCCTCTTCTGGTACATACCCTTTCATAAGCTAGTGGAAAGCCTCTGTAAAGTTTTTACAATAAAACTGAGACTCACCATTTTCATACTGCTGCAGTTATCCAGAGGGCAGACTCTGTTCTGCTATTAACAGTGAAACAAAGACTCACCTTTAAATTCTGTGGAGTGGAATCTTTATGCAACTTACTTTTCACTGTGAAAATGAAACTTATCAGGCCAAACAAATCACAAAGTTCACCAGTGTCAAAGAATTTAACTCACGATTTACAGTGAAACTGAGATTCACCATGACAACAATGAAATAGTTATCCAGAGGGTTAGTTAGCCACCTCTGTGCAGCTTGCTATTTACGGGGAAATGAAGACACCATTTTAATTCTGCAACAGTAAGCCCTTATGTAACTTGTTATGTACAGTGAAACTGGGACTTTTCAGATTAAGCCTTTGAATATTTAATGATTTACAGTGAAAATGAGACTCACTATGTTAATTCTGTTGAAAGACGCTAGAATTAAGCCTTTGTGCAACCTCCTGTTAATGGTAAAGGCTGAACCTGTTAACTCTGTTTAAGTAATCCCATGTGAAACCTCTATGTGTCATACAACTTACAGTAAAACTGAGACTCTTTTTATCAGGGCCATGGGGCAAACGCACTGAGGCACTGGCCCATTCAACAGTATAGGGGTCAGTGCCTTGAGGCAGAGCTTTCATATTCACCCACCACAACTCTTCACTTCCTCATATATTTTTGAGATGAAACTTCAGGAGCACATAGATCTGTTTTAAGACCTGACATTGACAGGAGTTTTTAGATAGCACAGAGAGTTTGTGAATATGAGCCAAAAATAACAGCAGAAAGTTTGATGGTTGAATCTTAAAAGAGTCCAGTTTTCCCTGATGTGGAGAACATAGAAGCGTTGACTTACCTTCTCTTTGCTTTTAAGGAACAGCTCTTGATATTTACACATTCTTAGGCAAAAGGGCTTTCCACTCCTGCTCTGGCTCACAGGTTTTTCTGCCCAGTTTTTGCGTCAAATCCTGCTACAACCTGGCAGTGATGTCATCAGTGTGAGACGTCTGCACATGTATCAGCTGATGGGTGAAAGCATGACACTAATCTTGTTACTAAGAAGCCTACATGGCCCATGCTGAGCGGCAGTCTGAGCAGGGAGTTAAGTGTTACGTGCGGGTGATACCAGCAGGGAAATCCCCGCTTAGGTCACACCCCATTCTGAGACCTGAACAACCGCCACCTCCACCTCCAACTGGGTCAAAATAAAGCTGTTAAAAAAACTTTTTCTACAACTCAAATCCACAAGAAGCTGGGACGCTCAGTAAAACTTTGATAGACACAGATCTTGGTGTTTGCAAATCATGTGAAGCCTATATACAACTGGATATAAGTAAAAGATAACATAGGTGTTATAGCAGAAAATTGGTGCCAGAAACATGTTTCCAAAAAGTTGTTAGAGAAACAAATAATTTGATTTTCAGGTTGTGTGATGCTAAAAAAAAAACAGCTGGAAGAACATCTACAAACTATTGAGGTTAGTTTCAAACAGGTTAGTAACATGACAAGACATTCAGAGAGGCTGAGACTCTCAGAAGGAAAGATGAGAGGAGGTTCACCACTCTGTGAGAGACTGAGTGAGCTAATAGTTCAACGGTTTCAGAATAATGTTTCTGAGGGCAAAATGTGAAAGAATGAGTGGATTTCATCATCTACAGAACATAATATCATAAAACATAAAACCCATTGTCTGTGAACACAGTTCATCACTGCATCCACAAATGAGGTTAAATCTGAACCATGCCAAGAGGAAACCAGATATAAACACGATCCAGACACACCAGACTTCTCTCAGCGCATTTAAGATGGACTGGGAGATAGAGGAAACTGACATTCTCTTTGGAAACCTGGATGCTCACATCATCCTCCTTAAAGAATAGAGAGACCACCTGGCTTGTTATCAGCTCTCAGATTAAGCTAGCATCTCTGATGGTATAGGGATTGTAAGGGTCCATGTCATGGGTCACTTATACATCTGTGAAGGATCCATTAATGCTGAACATTATCTACAGGTTTAAGAGCAACATATGCTGCCATCCAAACAATGAACTATTTCAGGGAAGACCTTCATACTTCAGTTGGAAAATGCTTTGAATCAAAGTGCCAAACAGTGAAAAAACAAACATCCACTTTGCTTCAATCTGTGAATCAGTTTAGCGGGAAACCCCTCTCCACTCGGAAGCTGCTGTAATTTGCTTGTCCTAATCTAAAGAGGGGAATGAACATATATTTGTGATAATTTTTTTAACGGAATTAGAAGAAAAAAAAAGAAAATATAAATCTACCAAAGCTTGTAATGGTCTGGTGGGAATGTCAGGAATCAGCTGTCTTTCTCTGAATTAGTCAGCCTTAAGTCAAAGTGAACCTCCAGGAAATCAGTGACATTTAGCTGGGTTTAAGAGGATTTGTGATTGTGTTTCTCACACAGAGCCAGAGAAAATGCTGGACAGAGCTTTGAGTTTAATCACTTTATCCCTCTCTGTGACTGTGTCACACCCATCCCAAACAACCCGACACAAAAACCGAACCACAGCAGGAATTAACTGAGGCCTGCGAGAGCTAATAATAACCTCAGTTATTCAGACAGGGTCACATTCCTGTTCCTGTGGCCACTGAGTCCTCCAGGTGAGTCTGAAACTCAGAAACAAAGAACAGATGTTCGACTGTCACTTTGTTTTCAGGGTCAGGATAAAGTTTGAAAAATCTACACAGATGTAAAAAGCAAAGATAGAGATTTCAGATTTTATCCATCTCTGTTGTCTGATGCATATACAGTATAGTACTGTAACTTTACAGCTTTTCTGCAGGTTTATTCCTGTAACGTTACACTTCAAAATGTCATTTTGAATTGTAATGTCAAAATGCTTTCATAATCACATTACATCAGCTGGCACAGGTATAGAGGAGTTTTTTGTCCGCGTGCACTGTCAGCATGTGTTTTTAAACAATTGAAACAGCTTTACACCTTTATTTATTCAACAGAAATAATGGTTACAAGTATTGTTAAGCAATATCTGATCAGATCCGATGATCACCATTCTTCTGTGCCCATTATCAAGATTTATTTTTGTCTCATGTGGATCAACCAATCACAGCTTCTACAGGGATGTGTCATACCCAGCAACAGGATCAGCTACACCGCCACACTGAGATTAAAAGTTTCTGTTTCCTCTCCATGCAGAGTCATTCTCAGATCAATTTTAATACCCTCCAAAGTGAGGACTCTTTACTAAAGTTTTTAAATCCAATCTAATCCACCTTTGTTTGTATAGTTCATTTTAAAAACAACAAAGTTACCAAAGTGCTGCACAACAGATAAAATATAAAAAAGAAAAGCTCTTTGAAAGGATCCTCTGTATGGTTCTGAAAACTGGTGCAGGTTTTTGTTGGTCTGAGGTGGAGCCTCTTGCTGCATCCCCAAATTAGCAATGCACCACCTTCGTGTTTGACCACACTTCAATTTCAGAGCATTACACTCCTAATGCCGACACGCCACTCACGATCTAAACAATGTGGGCGCTAGGTGTAAAAATGACAGCCATGTTTGGTGAAAATGACAACATTGCACGCAAACATGCTGATGTCCGGCGAAGACCCTGTGTGCTCTGTACTGGATGAGCAAGAGGGCCCAAAGTTGCAATGGACTCAGTGGAGGAGAAAGTGTTTGATGTATGTGTTTGCTAACAAGAGATGGGTCATGTGGCTGTGGCTGTGCCAACCTCCTTAGGTATGAAACACACTCACAGACCCGAGTAAAGGGCAGCTTAGGAACTCTGACCCTCTCTTCGTTTCAGGTCAGGCTGCAGGTAAGGAGCAGCTTCCTGTTGAAGATGGCCTCACTATCATGGCCGCCGGATCAGACCGAGGTGTGAAACCACTGACCCAACAGTAATGTGAAGTCTCTCTGTTTCCCACAGAAAAGACATGAAAATGAAAGTCACACCATCATCCCCCGCCTCCCCCATTTCCTCCCCCTCCAGCTCTACCTGTGTGTAAATAAACATGTGTACAGGCGGGTGCTCACCTTTTCCTCCTCACCTCCTCCTGTTTAAATAAACATGTGAGGGGGAGTGAGGGGTGAAGTTCAGGGGAGAGCAGTAGAGGGTGAGGGTGAGAGAGGCCCGGGGGAACTCATTATACTCAGACAGAGGAGACATTAACCCTCATACCAACTGTTTAACACACACACATACACACACTGAGACATATTCCTCTGTGTGTGTTTGTGTGTGCGCGTATTTGTAACCTAGGCTGCCTACAGCTTCATTAACACAGTTTATAAGAGTTCTTATTAAAGTAGTAAACTCTGGGTCCTGGTGAAGTCAAGCTCTTTATGTGAGAAAAAAGTGAAACTTCAGCAGCAGCTCTGCAGGACGCTCAGCTGTGTTTTATTTATTTTTAGGTTAAAGTGAAGTTTAATCTACATTTCAGCAGTCTGTAGCATGTTAAAGAAGTATGTTTAAAAATGTGTTGATGTTTAGATAATTGAAGAAAATCAGTTCATGTGGCTGCATAATTTAGATCTTCCTTGAGAGTGACAGGTTTTTGTTCCAATCATCAGCGCATAGTCCGTCAGATTCCACCTCAGCCTGCCAACTCTGTTTCAAAAACATTGGTGCACATCATCAGCACCATCTAATTGTACCAACTTTTGTTGCTCTGCTCACTGTCACATGTATTAAAATTGAGTTGTATTTTCAAAAACAAGTTTAGTGTTTATGAAAAATATATTAGTGCCATGTAAAATATATATTTTTTCAGGTCTTAGAAAGCTTTTTCTGAATCTAATGTAATGTTCTTTTTTATTATTATAATTTTTCAGTACTATTATTATTAAGATGTTGTCTCTTAAAATATTTGACCAACAGGGCCACTGTATTAAAAAAAACACTTTTTAAAAGCTCTATCTTGAAATAGAAATCAGGGATCAACTGGGCTGCTCTTAACTTTCTCACAGCTGCTGTGAGCTCTGAAGCACATGAAGTCTTTACTGCAGAAACACAGAATAATAAATGTGTGGTTAATAATAAATGTGTGGTGTGTGTGTGTGTGTGTGTGTGTGTGTGTGTGTGTGTGTGTGTGTGTGTGTGTGTGTGTTAGCTAAGCTTTGTTTATTTGCTCGAGTCTGTTTTATGACGGTGAATTTAATTGATGGTTAAGAGCAGATCTGCTCCCCCACTGCTGCGTGAACATAAACAAGTACTAAAGCAAAACATGTGTTTGAATGTGTGCGTGCATGTGTGTGTGTGTGTGTGTAAGAAAGCGAGAGAGCGAGAGAGAGAGACAGAGCAAGAGAGAGAGAGTGAGTGAGAGTGTGTTTGCACGTGACCCTGGGTGTAAGGGCCAGGAGAGGCAGACTGGTTTCATTTTGGTTTTGGGAAGTTCATCCAAACTTTTAAACTGTTGCTATGGCAACGGCAAGTCTCCTCAACCTTTTTTTTAACCTCCTCCTCTCTCCCCTCATTTGCCCTCTCTCTCCCTCTATTCAGTTTCTCTCTGTCCCTCTCCTTCTTATTTAGCCTCCACCCTTTCCTCCCCCTTACTCTCTCCACCACATCACACACACACACACACACACACACACACACACACACACACACACACACACACACACACACACACACACGCACAAACACGCGCGCCCTGCCCTCGTCTTTAACAAAAATAAACCTGTGGAAATGAACACAGAGGATTAAATCAGCAGCAGGTTTTTCTTTTTCCTGCTGTAATTTTTAAACGTTTTTTGTTCCACATAAACTTTTTGTTCTGCAGAGAGTTTCTCTGTTGAGGGTGACAGCCCAAAGAGAGACTGAATCAGATCCCGTTGGTGGTTTAATCAAGAGAATCATTGTGTAATATTACCTGAGTGGACCCTGTGTGGTGCTGTGTTGAGTTTTTTCCTCCCCTCTCGTATATGTTTATTGTGCTGGT